TGTTCCAGACGCTTCTCGGCAGGAAGCAGAGGCGAACTTTATTTTCCAAGATACTGGTGAACCCTTATGAATCCTCAACCCCTCAAGATTGGAATAACACCCTAAACTTTGGGATGTTCCCCCTTATACTAGCAGGCCTTAATCGGGAGCATCGTACCCCCAATTCTAATCCCTATGAAGGACTGCTAGAACAAAGGGGGATTATCCCACCTTAACCCTGAGCCCTTAAACAACTGTACTGAGACACTCCCAGAAATCTAAACCCTTAGCATCACAACCAAGTCCCATCCACTCACTTTCAGACATTTCCGGCTCAGGGTTCAGGGTTGAACGTTCACCAGCTTGGGGGCATGAACCATTGAGGGTTTGGGGGTTTAGTGTTCATGACTACAAAGTGTATGTGGGCTTGGCTCTCTGCACATTCGGGGCGTTAGCTAGGGGATGTTAGGGGTGGTGGCTTGTGCATCGCGGGTCCGGAACCCTTAGATGCCTTAGACCATGAAAAATAAAACAAGACTTGAGGGCTTAGGGCCTTGGGGCCCTGAATTTCATGTCTTCATGTCCGAACGGCCTACTGTTCTGCCCGCGTCCCTTGGAACCGCCAGTGATTCGCCCCAGGTGCTAGAGAATAAAGACGCGGTGGGCATGGCTGTCGCTGAGCACGACGCCAACGAGCATGTTCCTGGTACTACGTACCATTTGCTTAAGAACCTCCCAAAAAGATACAGGAAAAGAATTCGCTATATTACCCTTTTAAGCAAGAACATCATCCCTATATCACCCTCATAAGGAAGAGCTTTTTACTGTTTTTTTTTTGGGGGGGGGTCCCTTAAGCAATTCGTAGGGTAGGGTGTTAGCAGGGATTGCACCCTAAATTTCTCAAGGGTTCAGCATACGAACGCATGTGCATGTTCTATGCAACATTCCTGTGCAAACTTTGTGTACGTACATCACACCACGTAATACACATTTCTATACCCCTGGCTTTGTTTGGGCCGCAGCATTGGGGGCTTTGAGGATGATTTGGGATGTTCCCTGAAACCCTAAGCCCTAAACCCTAAAACCCCCTAAACCCTAAACAATACTCACAGTCGTCTTGTGCCCTTTATTGTCAGCCCCAATTAAGAACTCTTAGTATAAGGGGGAACATCCGAGACAACACTCAAGCCTTGGGATTGCCAGTTGAAGTGGTGAAGTACTGACATTGGCTGCATGACTTGCCCTGGAGCTGTTTAACTTGTAAAGTTTGTAAGGGTTTAGGGTCTAAGGCTTACAGAAAGTTTAGAAGGGTTCAGGGTTTAAGGCTTAGGAAAGTTTGTAAGGGTTCAGGGCCACTCCGAAACTCCGAAGCACTTTCAGGCAAGCTCCTCTGACAGCTCGCTCCAGCATCTGGTGTCTGGGGTGAATGCCGACCTCTGCCGTGTCTGCTAACTCGTATACTTCGCAAGCAGGCTTCCTAAACACCAGGGCTTACACCTTGCGAACCCTAAACCCTAAACCCTATACCCTAAACCCGCGGTTTCCGTAAGGTTATTGTTTTGTTGGGTTCTCAGTAACACCGACCGACAGGCAGGAGGTCTTTGGTTCCTGTGAAGGTGTGCGTTGTAGGGTTGAGCGTTTGGAGGCCCCTCAGCCCTCGACCTTCTATTCTAGTATTCCATGTTCTTTATTTGACGTCAGAATTTATTTATGTTGCATATAGTATACATACATATCTGTATATACATCATATATGTGTTCTCGTATGTAGTCTGTTTCATGTCATGTCTTGCGCGTTAATAAAGCCGGCAGCAGAAGTTGGCGGCGTTCGATCTTGGCGAGTTCCGATTCTAGATGAGAGATTATGCGTAGGTGGTGCCTCCACAACTTTTAAGAGGACGCTTCTTGATCTTCGGGTCCTCTTGCACAGGAGCTTACAGGAGGGTCCCCTGAGTCCGAAGTCTTACAGCCCCACGTCCCACCATGGTCTCCCCCCACCCTCTTCCAACCAAGCCCCACACCCAGCAGCCTGAAACCCGAACCCTGAACCCTAAACCCTAAACCCTAAACCCTAAACCCTAAACCCTAAACCCTAAACCCTAAACCAGCAGCCCGAAATCCGCAAACCCCAAGCTTCTCTTCGGCCCAGAGCATGGTGAGGGAATCCGGAGGTCGAGAAATCCTCCCCAGTTTCAGCTTCGCTTAGAGAGTTAGGAGGCAATCCTGCCTGCATTTGAAAGAAACTTCTCCACGAGCCACTGGGAGGCTGTGCTTCGTTTTCATTAGTTATGATGATGATGAAGAGATATATATATATATATATAATTTATTGATCTGTTTATTTGTTTGTTATATATATATATATATGTACTCTTTGTTTTTTTTGTTGGGGGGGGGGTCGTGGATGCCCTGAGGGTAGTTTGGTGTGCTGAAAGGCATGCGCTTGGGGCTTTGGGCGAAGTTAGTTGCAGATGCCTTCTGGAAGGTGTCAGCACTCTTTCAGGGTTGCATAAGGACTTCATATATGACTAGGGCCTTCGTAACTTCTCACTGCGGAGGTAGCTCGTGCGCGGTTCGTAACTTGCTTCAGAGGAAGTACCGGCTTTCCGATCCCGATTCTTTTCTGGCGGGTAGATGCTGAAATAAGTCTTCGTTGAGGATTCCAGGAATCAGAGTTGAAGGCCTTGCCTCTACCTGCAGGATCCCTCACAAGCCTAGGGAGTGCCAGGGGGGTTCCCTCCTCCCTTAGACCCCTTTTGGCTTCCTGCATCGTCAGCTGTCAGTATCAAACCGGCCCAAACCTCATGGGCTCCCCTATTCCCCCCGTCTATACTACCCCCCCGCCCTTTGGTCCCCCGACAATTAAGGCTGTTTGTAGGGATACTTAAGCCGAATTAAGGCTATTTAAGGGGGGAACCCATGGAGGGGGGTACAGAGGGGGGCAGTAGGGAAACGCATGAAACCCTGAACTCCAACGACCAAATGCACCCTGAAAGGGTTGAGGTTTTATGGGTCAGGGTTTAGGGCTCATATACCATATGCCCTACTAGGATTTCTTGTAGCGGAGGGTGTATGATCCCATTTTGGGGGTCCGTTTGTTCCACAAGGAAACCTCAACCCGAAAATTTGCGCTTGTCGTGTTCGCAAGCACAGTCTCGCGACCTCGCCGTTGGCTCTACGGCATAACGGCGGTAGGCACTAAATGCCAAATGGCAGTTGTGGCAAGTCATGGCCCAAGTCAACCCCCACAAGCTCAGTCGCGCACAGAAGTCATCGTCAAAATTTTGCTGAGAGACCTACACCCTCAACCCTAAACAATCATCGCCGAATCATCGCGGTCGGTTTTGTTTCCCCAAGCCCTTGACCCTAGAAACCTTTCATGAAGTCGAAAGCCTACGCACCGGACCCTTCAAGGTTCACCCTTCAGCTTTCATCGAATGAGCCCCAGGACTAGAACCTAGAACGGAGCCGTTACTAGAGTTCTCTGACTTGGGGGCTCCCTTCTTGGGTGACTTGGGGCTCCCAATTTGGGGCCTTCTTGCAAGGCTCACTTAGCGAGCTAGCCATATAGACCTTTCAAGCCTAAACCCTAAGCCCTAAACCCTCTAGACCTTTCAACCCTAAACCCTAAACCCTAGACGCTCTGAAAAGGGTGCATGAGTGTCACAAGCTCCGAAGTTGGCGCTAGACGTGCGCTCCACTTGGAGGCACCAGGGTCTGCCGGGGCATAGGGTTTAGGGTTTAGGGTTTAGGGTTTAGGGTTTAGGGTTTAGGGTTTAGGGCTAGGGGTTGAGGCCTTCAATCTCGTACCTTCCGAAACCCTAAACCCTAAACTATGGACTTTCAGGATTGGCTAGGCACTCGGGGCCCCAACTCCGCTTTCAGGGCTTGCAGGGCTTGCAGGGCTTTAGGGTTTTAAAGGTTTTAGTTTTTTTTTTTTTTTTTTTTTTTGGGGGGGGGGGGGTTGTATTTTGTATTTTGTAGTTTGTTTTTGTTTTTTTTGTTTTTGGTTTTTCGGGTTTGGGTTCTAAAGGGTTTTAGGGTTTCTAGCGTCCTTAGGGTATATGGCCTGAGATGACTAGGATTTGCGGGGGGGGGGGGGGGGGGGCACCGGAGCACTTTGAACCTGTTGGCCCTGGGAGCCTTGACATCCCCTTAAGCCCTAAGATCTTTGAGTTCAGGTTAGGGTTTAGGCTTTAGGGTTTAGGGTGTTTAATTGCTGTTGTTGTGGCTCAGGGTGAGCTGGAACATCCTGCAGCCCTATGTTCGTTGAGTTTTCTTCTTGTGTTGCGGCTCAGGGTTAGCGATTATTCGCTATGATGATATCGATCAATGTGCTTGTCGCCATGAGTGTGCCTATGAGTATGAGCATGATGACTCTGCCTTCATGACCACCATGGCTATGCTTCTGATTATTTGGGACGTTTCCCCCCCCCCCCCCCCCCCCTTATCCTAACAGTCCTTACTGGGGATTGTGGTACCCCATATTATAATCCCTATTAAGGACTGTTTAGTATAGGGGTGAACATCCCAACTGATTATCATGATTACCTATAAGAGCTAACACCGCTTCCGCCGACCCAGTAAACGCCGGCAGGCTCCTGGCGCAGAGAACAGCAGAGCAAGCAGACAGGCAGCAGGACGTGAGCAGGGCTGGTCGGGTTTGCGGGGACAAGGGTTTTGGGTAGGCGGATGGGTGGAGGGAGGGCGCCAAAAAAGCCGCGCTTCGTGACGGAAGTTGACTAGAACAGTTCTAAGTCAGGAAGAAGAAAAACTCTGGCTTTTTTTGCCCAGTTTCCTGCCATGCTTGAGACGCTTAGCTCCCGAAAGCTCGTAACCCTCAATCGAGATTAATTCTGTTGGGGCTCAGGGAAACTCTGGGGTTTAGGGTTTAGGCCTTAGGGTTTGGGGTTGAGGCTTTAGGGTTTCGAGACCCTAAACCCGAAACCCTAAACCCTAGAAACCCTACAAACTACAAACCCTACAAACCCTACAAACCCTAAAGTGCACGTCAGGCCCAGATGTGTTCAGGGAATGGCCACTACGGCTACCCTGAGGCTCGGTTTGGGCGCTCTAAGGGTTTCATAGGGTTTTCTTCAGGGTTCTGTGTCCGGGTTCAACTTATCGTGATTCGGGAGCGGAGAGTTCAGCGTGAAAGGTTTAGGTGGTGGGATGAAGACTGTTCAGGGTAGCAGAGGGCCTTGGCGTATCCGCTTTGAATTCTCGGCTGCTCTCTCAACAATATGTGCAATGTGGACGCACCCCCGCGCATCTTGCTTTTATTCTTTGAGTTGGGTCCTGCCCTAAACCCTAAACCCTAAACCCTAAACAAACCCTAAACCCTAAACCCTAAACCCTTAACCCTTAACCCTAAACCCTAAACCCTACACCCTATACCCTACCTACTAAACCCTATCCCTCTTAGATTGCCTCATGAGCCCCTTTTTTCATTCTATTGGGAGCTTGATGCCCTATGAGCGAAGCCACGGGTTGAGTGGGTGAAGGGTCTAGAGTTTAGGGTTTAGGGTTTAGGGTTTAGGGTTTAGGGTGTCAGGGATGGTATTGGCCCAGAGGATGTATGCTGGCCATAGTTAGATAGGCTGCCCCAATGACAGTGTCGGAGACAGCCTCACTTACAACGACTCGGCCCCATGAGGCTTCAAGAAGGGTTGAAGGTTCTGGGCTTAGGGTTGCGAGCTCGCTTAAACCCTAACCCCTAAACCCTCAACCCTAAACCCTAAACTCTGAACCCCTTTTTTTTTTTTTTGGGGGGGGGGGGGGGGGGGGGAGGATGAGGGGCTGAAGACTTAAAGTTCAGGGTTTAGGGTGTTGGGGTTTTGGGGGTTCAGTTTCGGCCTCAGTCTGCTTAAGTCTCGTTCTGCACTGTCCACACAATTTGGACCATCAGCTCTCAAACTAGGGCTTGCGGAATGTCCTGATCAACGCTGGGTTTCCAGAAGGCGCGATCAGCAGCTAGTGCAACACCAAGTGGGCGGGCAAGACCGATGCTCGCCCCGGCGATGCTTTGCAAGTTTTGCAAGTATCCACCCTAAACCCTAAACCCTAAACCCTAAACCCTAAAAACTAAACCCTAAACCCTAGCAAACATGGCTGCTCAAGATACCCCAGCCAGACCTTCTCAATCGCCTTGGCTCACTGAATGCTAGGCCCCAAACCCTAAACCCTAAACCCTAAACCCTAAACCCTAAACCCTAACCCCTAAACCCTAAACCTGCTTGGCTCCTCCACCAAGTTGATTGGAGCCCTTCCCAAGTTTGAGCTGAAGCTCTTCAACCTTGTGCTCGAATTCCGACAGGAACTCAACCCGAAACCCTAAACCCTAAACCCTACACCCTAAACCCTAAACTCTGAACCGAAAAACTCATTCTCCTATAGACCTTAAGCCGAAACGCCTCAAAACCTCCAAAAGCTCATTCTGCTACAGACCCGAAGCCCTTCAACCTTGACGTCCTCAAACAACGTTTTGCTCTTGTGTCCTTCTTTTGCTGGGTGCTTGCTGAGGCCACCAAAGACAGCCCCTGTCCTCAGCAGTCCCTGCCTCATCTCCTGGCGAGGGGTTTTAGGGTTTTAGGGTTTGGGGTTTTAGGGTTTATGGTTTCGGGTTTAGGGGGTTTAGGGTTTAGGGTTTAGGGTTTAGGGTTTAGGGTTTAGGGTTTAGGGTTTAGGGTTTAGGGTTTAGGGTTAGGGTTGTGCGAGTTCGGACGTAGGGGTGTAAGGATTTGGGCTACATTCGAGTGCTCGAAGGCATCAGAGTGTGGGGCCAGTGTGGGGTTATGTGTTCATGAAGCTTGAGCTCAGGTTTAGGATTTAGGGTTTAGGGTTTGGGTTTAGGGTTTAGGGTTTAGGTTTTGGGGTTTAGGGTTTAGGGTTGCACTAGCTTTTGCAGGGATCAGAGTGATTTTTGAAGGCGATGTTGATGTCTGAGGTCTGGTTGTTGGCGAGCCACACCTGGCAGAGTAGGCAAAAGTCGACGCGGGAGTCGCTAAAGTGACTTACTAGGATGCCCAGTAGTACCCTTATTCCCTTTTTGGAGGGTTTAGGTTCCCTTATAAACCCCTTTAAGCAAAAAAGGGTACCCTTTTTAAGCCTAGGTTACTGGGCAGCCTCGCCTATAGTCGCCCCATGCCAGAAAGTCCAAAACTCTGGCTCTCCCCTGAACCCCTAAACCCCTAAACCCCTCAACCCTTAACTCTGGCTCTTTGTTTTGCGTGTGTGTGTGTGTGTGTGTGTGTGTGTACAGGGAGGTCCGACCCCGCAAGCCACCCGAAGCCACCCAAAGCCACCCGAAGTCCGATAGAGCCCATCTATAGAATCTTGGGCTCTAAACCCTAAACCCTAAACCCTAAACCCTAAACCCTAAACAAAGTCGTCAGCCCTAGACTCATGACCCTTGGCTGGGGACCCCCCTCACCCCCCTCCCCCCCCCCCCCAAGCCCAGCCTGGAGGTTAGAGGAGCAGGTGCGGCTCCTGCAGCACCAGAATGCCAGGCAGCTCCAGAAATCATCGGTTTTGGTTTGGTTTTGGGGTTTAGGGTTTGGGGTTTGGGGTTTGGGGTTTAGGGTTTAGGTTTAGATTTTGGGGGTTCAGGGTTTAGGGAGTTGCTGTCTCCGGTGTTTTCCTGCACCATGAAACAGTAATAGACGGTGAGCCTTTTTTTTGTGCCGTCTCGCGGCAATCGTTTGCAGTGGTATAGGAGAGGGTTTGATCGGATTGCCTGCGCGGTTCAGGTCGTAAGCTCACACCAAGTTTGTTTGGCCCTGCCTGGACAATTAGAGGTGGCTTAGTGCTGAAGGCGTGCGTGCGCAAGGCCGGTGCACCAGGGAAGAAGCTGATGCGTAACCGGTGAAAGGCAGGTTTTGGTGTACGCATGGCATCATGGGGCTTAGACGCACACTCACACTGTCTCGAAAGGTCTCAAGATTGCGTAGCCATGAACAACGACCACATTCGTAGCGATATGGTAGTACGAATACTCGCATACTGTGCTGCAGTATGCTACAGTACACTCTGATTTCTGTTTGCATGGCCCATGGGCGGATCTGGCAGCAATGAAGAAAGTTCAAAACCAATGTGAAGAGACCATGAAGGACGTCTAATATGCACGTAAGGCATTCTGAGTTTGACCATAACCTGATGGTATACTCTTCGTGTTAGCATACATTCAGGCCTTAGGGTTCAGGGTTTGGGGTTGAAGGTTTAGGGCTTAGGGAATCCTTCAACAGCCTCCGTTTTGAGAGCACGGGATGGTGGCATCTGAGACCGCTGGGGAATCCGCAGTGCGCGACGTGGGGAAAGAGAGCGACGTGGACACGACGGACTGGGTTTTGGGTTTAGGGTTTAGGGTTTAGGGTTTAGGTTTAGGGTTTAGGGTTTAGGGTTTAGGGTTTAGGGTTTAGGGAGAGCAAATTTGGTACATAGCGTCCTGGGGACCAAATGAAGCCTAAAAGGGTTTACGGTTCGTATAGGGTATATGACCCCCAATTTTAGGGTTCATGCGGTCCCCAAGGATAACGGCACACGTTACATGTATAAGCTGTGCTAGCTTACATAATACTGTAGTGTACGTGTTTATGTGCTGTGTTGCATTATCGGGTACTTTGACGATGATGTCAGATGCTGCGTTCAAGATAGTTCCGCTGCCAGGACGGAGACCTTGTCACTTTCACGGTTAAGTGGGCCGGGGAGGAGGATGAGACGTTTGAGAAGATGGGCGGAGGTTGGGGGCAAAGTCTACGCGGATTTTGTTGGGTTTAGGGTTTAGGGTTTAGGGTTTAGGGTTTAGGGTTTAGGGTTTAGGGTTTAGGGTTTAGGGTTTAGGGTTTAGGGTTTAGGGTTTAGGGTTTAGGGTTTAGGGTTTAGGGTTTAGGGTTTAGGGTTTAGGGTTTAGGTGGTTCTGTGTGTGTGGGATGCCTCTTGTTTTGTTAAGGCTTAGGCTTTAGGACCGGGATGTTCAGGCACCCAATATGGGGGTTTACGAAAATCAGGGGCCCCCAACATAGACCCCCACATAGTAGGATTCCCTGTCCCCTCCATAAGGTACCCCTAATTTCAGACACCCTAAACCCTGAACCCTAACCCTAAACCCTAAACCCTAAACCCTAAACCCGAAACCCTAAACCCTAAACCCTAAAGTCAGGCACCCAATATGAGAACAATTCCATGGACTCCAAGCTGTCCGACGAGAGCCCCGACCAGACGGAGCTGCGAATGCAGGCTCTTGCTGATGCGATCGCGCCTCGGTAGTCGGGTCCAGTGGGACCCTTTACCCTTTTTGGTTGGTTCTGGGGGGTTTAGGGTTTATAGGGTTTAGGGTTTAGGGTCTAGGGCTTAGGGTTTAGGGTTTAGGGTTCAGGGTTTTGGGTTTGGGGTTTGGGGTTTAGGGTTTAGGGTTTGCGCTTGGTAGCCCAGTGGACCCTTTACCCTTTTTTTTGGTTCCGGGTTCCCTTATAAGGTAACCAACCAAAAACAAAAAATCAAGGGTGCCCTTATGATGACATGGTTACTGGGCTACTAAGGCACGGATGAAGCCCACCCGTCCCGAAATCGTGAGGGCTGTGCCGGTGGGAGCAGTGCTGTTCGGCTTGGGGAGGCCCCTCCGCAGCGCAAAGGGCAAGTTCTACCGCCTGAGCAGGCCGGCTACCCAGATTCATGCATCTTAGTAGCCGAGTGAGTACACTTTACGTTCTTTGGGATACAAGGATCCCCTATAGAACTGAAAGTGTACAGTTTTTTGGGGCTTATGAACTCAGCACTAAGGCATTCTGGTCCCACAGCTGGCATGGGTCTGCATGGATGAAGATTCTTGCAGCCATCTTCCTCAACAACAGCACCCCTGCGTCTGTGGTCAGCACCACCCTGGCTGTCTGCGTGATCCCGCTCTATGTTCTGGACTTCCTGCCAAGCATTCTTCCTTCGTGCGGATGGTGTAGCATCTATATCCACCCTTGGGAATTATGTCTTATTTTGCAAACAAAAAACCCAAGAGGATATTAAGATTGCCATTTTTCTTAAGGTTCTAAGGGTAGTCTAGGCATGGTGGGCTCGGTGGCTTATCTACTGACCTTACTCCTCTGGCGGCGGATCTCCTCGCGCTCGGCCTTTGTTGACCGATGTTGCATCCACCAAACCCATGCAAAGCTCAAGGCGGAAGGGGTTTTCAGCCTCTTGGCCTTCCCTTTTGGGGAGCTGGGTAGGTCACCTTGAACCTTTTTGGTTATATTATATAGAACCCTAAACCCTAAACCCTAAACACTACTATATACAAAAAGGTTAACCTTGTCTTGGCTGGGGGTCTTCAGCCTCTTGGGCTTAACAGGAGCTCCGGGTTGAAGGTACAAAGGCCTACGGCCTTTTCAACTCAGTCTCAACCTAAACCCTAAACCCTAAACCCTAAGCAAGAGTTCGAGGCATGGGTCTTAAGGGTGTAAGACTATAGAGGTAGGGTACTAGAGTGCAAGCTCGATCATGGATCCCTAAACCCTAAACCCAAAATTCTAGACCCCAAGCCCTAAACCCTAAACCCCAAACCCCAAACCCCAAACCCCAAACCCTCAACCCTAAACCCCAAACCCCAAACCCTAAACCCTAAACCCCAAACCCTAAACCCCAAAAAGCCGCTCCCAGGCCTAGGGGCCATCATCAAGGCTTCCGACTCCCTGGTGGTTTTCTGGGATCGGTCGTATGCCCAGCGACTGTGGCCTGGCAGGGTTGAGGGTTTAGGGTTTAGTGTTTAGGGTTTAGGGTTTAGGGTTCAGGGTTTAGGATTTAGGGTCTAGGGTTTAGGGGTTCGGGTTTGGGGGTTTGGGGTTTAGGGTTTAGGGTTGGCTTGGCGTCCCCCTTTACCCCTTGTTTAGTTCTCGCCTCCCTTATAGAGTATCTGAATCTGGTTACTTGGCTGCCAAGGTGGTGCGTCTTCGAGCACCTCGCTGCACTTTGTACACCATTCGAGTATGCGAAAGTCCAAGGCGATCAGCACTAGACTTCCCAAATCTTGCCTTGTAAAAGTCCACAACCCCCTGCGCTCAACACCTTTTGAAGCTAAACAAGTCCTGGGCTAAACCCTAAACCCTAAACCCTACACCCTAAGGGGTTTATTCAGGGCTCAGGGCAGAATTGGGTTTAGGTTACTCAGGATGGCAGCCTTTCTGCACACTCACCCAGACAAGAAGCAGGTTCGGATCCAGCCTACGATCTTTGGGCCTCTCTTGTCGATTTCAAGCTTGTCCGCTATCATGCTAAACCTGGGAATCTGGGTGATGGTGAGGAAAATTCTACATCTTCAGCATGTGTGTAGACTAGAGGGGTTTAGAGTACACTGAGCTGTAGTACATACTAGAGAATGTTCTCTGTAGAGCTATGGTCGGCGCTGCCCACGAGGAATCCACAGCATGTACAACATGGCCTGGCAGAACTCCTTCATTCTTTCTCTCCTCCTCCTCTTGGCCTACTGCGGCCTAGTAGTGGTCCCGATGGCCAAGATGTCTCGCCAGTATTTCCGGGAGGTGGGCTACATTCGCAAGCAGATTGCAGACTTCAGCCTTGAGAACTCAGAGGCCTACTGCTGCTCCATCAACCACCAAGACCCAGTCTTCGGAACTCCTGTGCCCTGCGACCGCGGTATCATCCGGCGATGTGTGCTGAAATGGTTTGGGAGCATTGAAGGCTTCCATGACCGAGTCCGTGGCGATGTACCTTTAAAGGGGCAGCAGGCTATTCCTTCTTTTTGTTCGGGGAATTGTAGGTCGTGTTAGCACTCATGTCATAACTTCATGTGTCAGAGCTTCTAATGCAGTAGTATGCGTATAGTATTTTCAGTATGGCATCGTATAGCACAGTCTAGTATACTGGAGTAGGTCATGGCATAGTAGGGTGTAGTCTAGCAAAGTTTCTGGACAAGGTACAACAGGCTCTTCTTGACAGAATGACGAGCCAGGCAGGGGTTTGGGTTCTTGTACAAACTTGAGGATGTGTTCAGTTTAGGGTTTAGGGTTTAGGGTTTAGGGTTTAGGGTTTAGGGTTTAGGGCTTAGGGCCTAGGGCTTAGGGCTTAGGGCTTAGGGTTTAGGGTTTAGGGTTTAGGGTTTCGGGTTCGGCGGGTTCCGGCTTGTCTGAGGAGGGTGTCCATGACAGTGAGGTTCTCAATATGAGTGGGATTCTTCTAACATGGGGCTTACCACTTCCGGGTCCCACAGGGGTTTAGGGTTTAGGGTTTGGGGTTTAGGGTAGAGTTCTCAGAGCAGCCCAGCAGTTGCTCCCAAAAAGGAATTATGTGTGCCTTGGAGGCTCGCCAGAATGCACCCTGAACTCAAGTGCCAGGCGCTTTCTTACAAGGTCTTCGTGGAGGTTTCCTGCCCCATCTTCTGGCCATTCCTGGACTTTTTTGCTGCCTACGTGAAGTGGGCCCTTGCTGAGGATATGACCATGGGATATGTGCCTGATCTGAGTGAGTCTGGAGTTTTGGGTTCAGAGGCGAGCGTGCAAACAACCGAATGTCTTGGGCATTTTGGGTTTTCAGTGCTGCAAATTCCCTAAACCCTAAACCCTAAACCCTAAACCCTGATAGAAGCTCCTTAGATAGAATCCCTGAAGTTCGTATGCCGCTACCGTAGGGCACATTGGGTTATAATCCGAGCATCCCCTGCGGAGCCAAGAAATGACCGAAACCCTAAACCCTAAACCCTAAACCCTAAACCCTAAACCCTAAACCCTAAACTCTCGAGGTCTATGTGCTGATCTTTCGAGGCCTAGCTTACTGGCTGGCCGTGACTCCCACTGTGCTGTATGTCTTTACACGGCTGGCCCACGTGACGCAGGCGGAACGCTCATCCCCGAACTCCATGCCCGAATGGCAGACTTGGGGTTTGCCGAAATTAGGGTTTAGGGTTTAGGGTTTAGGGTTTAGGGTTTAGGGTTTAGGGTTTAGGGTTTAGGGTTTAGGGTTTAGGGTTTAGGGATGTGTCCTTCTTGGGGTCCTTAAGAAAAAAGGGGATCCTACTATTTGGGGGTCTATATTAGGGCTCCCCGAATTCTCGTAAACCCCCATTTCCTGAAGCCCAATACCTTAAACCTTGATCCCAAGCACCCAGAGGCTCCAACCTTGAGCCCAGAACCCCTAAAACCCCTAAACCCCTAAACCCCTAAACCCCTAAACCCCTAAACCCCTAAACCCCTAAACCCTAAACCCTAAACCCGAAACCCTAAACCCTAATCACACGCTTTGCAGGAGAAGCGCAGCTCGGGGTTTCGCGAGCTCTGCGCCTGGGCCACTGATTTTGGAGTCTTTTAGTCTTTAGCGTTTAGGGTTAATGGCTCTGGGTTTTGGGTTTTGGGTTTTGGGTTTTGGGTTTTGGGTTTTGCACTTCTAAGGTGTTTTCAATTGCCAGCCCAGATCATATTAATTAGTCGGTCATGTGCAAAGTCTCTGATACGAGGGTACCAGAGCGCACTATAGTCAATAGTTGCTGGCACCATGAGACGTACATTTTGTGTGCCATCCTTTTCTCTACTGTCGTTTACTTGACTATACCTTTGCACCTGGAGGCCTAGACCCTAAACACCTTAAACACCAGAGCAAGCCTTCTAAACCCCCCGAACTGCCCTTAGCCCGAAACCCTAAACCCCTGAAATGACCTGTTGGCCCTAATCCATGACCCTGAAATAGTCCCAGGTGTCTCCATGGTTTCTGTGACTGGCGTGCTCGGCTTGATTGGAATCTACGCAGCTGTGGATCTTCTCCCTTGGATGCTCTGCTTTTATGAAAGTGTCGGGGAGCAATGGTACGTCATGAGTGTGGTGATAGTAGTCGTCGTCCTATAGTAGTTCTTGTGGTAGTGGTAGTCGCTGCAGTAGCAGTGGAAGTGGTAGCAGGAATCTAGTCCCAGCTCTCTGGCACTAAGGACGCTCTTCTTTTTCCTCTTCTCGGGTTTTCCGGCACTCGCCGTACTGCCATTCGTTGTGTTCTCGTTTGCTGCCTTGCTGTGCACATGGCGACTTTTTCCGGTTCCGAAGCCCACAGCTCACTCTCCGGCGGGCGTACAGCTGTGAGGTGAACCCTAAGCCCTAAACCCGAAACCCTAAACCCTAAGCCCCAAGCCCTCACAGCTGCAGAGCCTTTTCAAGGCAGACGTTTTCAAGTTGCAGCTGGAAACAGTTGGGAGCAGCACAGGTGCGGGTTGCGGACTTTGCTGGTCGCCTTGGCCAACAAAGTATATCGGGTTTAGGGTTTAGGGTTTATGGTTTCGGGTTTAGGGTTTAGGGTTTTGAAGCTGGTCCAAGCTAGAGCCTGAAATGAAATCAACCGTTCAAACACTTGGAATCACGTGTCGTCACCTTGAGACCAGGCCGTCAGTCCTGCTTAGAGGTGTGTTGGTTGAGGGCTTAGGCTTTTGGGGTTTAGGGTTTAGGGTTTAGGGTCTAGGGTTTAGGGTCTAGGGTTTAGGGGTTAGGGTTTGGGGTTTAGGGTTTGTGGTTTAGGGTTTAGGGTTTAGGGTTTAGGGGTTTTCGATTTTTAGGCTTTTGGGGTTTGACGGTTTTGGGGTTTCGGGGTTTTGGGGTTTATTGGTTTTAGGGTCTAGGGACGGTCTATCCCATGTTTGGTTGCCTCTCGCTATTCTGAAAGCATCCCGAGCCCCCCCCAAAAAAGGGTACCCATATAGGGGGCCAGGGAATAAGACTCTGGATAGCACAACCCCTCTGCCCTAAACCCTAAACCCTAAACCCTAAACCCTAAACCCTCTCTACCTATGTATATTTAAACCTTAATGGGGTCGTGTTCTGATTATGAGTTTTTGGGGTTTTTAGGATTTAGGATTTAGGATTTAGGACTTAGGATTTAGGATTTAGGATTTAGGATTTAGGATTTAGGGTTTAGGGTTTAGGATTTTGGATTTAGGATTTAGGATTTAGGATTTAGGATTTAGGATTCAGGGTTTAGGATTTAGGATTTAGGATTTAGGGTTTGGATTTAGGATTTAGGATCCCGCGCGTGACGCGCGTGACGCGCGTGACGCGCGTCCCGGCTTCGTAATTTAGTCTTCGGGGGAAGCCCGGCTTCGTACTTTAGTATTCGGGGGAAGCCCGGCTTCGTAATTTAGTATTCCGGGGGAAGGCCGGCTTCGTAATTTAGTATTCGGGGGAAGCCCGGCTTCGTAATTTAGTCTTCCGGGGGAAGCCCGGCTTCGTAATTTAGTATTCGGGGGAAGCCCGGCTTCGTAATTTAGTATTCGGGGGAAGCCCGGCTTCGTAATTTAGTATTCGGGGGAAGCCCGGCTTCGTAATTTAGTATTCGAGGGAAGCCCGGCTTCGTAATTTAGTATTCGGGGGAAGCCCGGCTTCGTAATTTTGTGTTCCGGCGGCCGTTTTGGTCCAAAAATCCAGAAAACAAGAGCCCACCCAGGACCGTCGATCTCAGTACTAAAAAAATCGCATTTTTAATAGGGACCCGGGGCCGATCCTGGGGTCCCCCCTCATTTGGGGTGTTTTTAGAGGCAAACTTTCCCTTTCAAGGGGGGGTCGGAGTTTGAGGCAAGGGGGGGTCTCCAAAGACTATTTTGCCTTTAAAATTGAAAAATGCCACCCCCCCTTGACCAAAACTAGGCCGTGAAAAGGTCGCGGTCCCGGCCCTTCATCAGAACTGAGGCTTTAAAACCCTAAAACACCTTGAAAAACATTGAAAAATCTCAAAAAAAACATTGAAAAAACTCTGAAAAACCTTGAAAACCATGAAAAACTTGAAATCCTGAAACCGGTGAAGGCTCGGTTTTGGTCAAAAAATCCAGGAGGGGGCGGGATTTCATCAGAACTGAGGCTTAAAAACCCTAAAACACCTTGAAAAACATTGAAAAATCGCAAAAAAATATTGAAAAACTTTGAAAAACCTTGAAAAAACCTTGAAAAACTTGAAATCCTGAAACCGGTGAAGGCTCGGTTTTGGTCAAAAAATCCAGAAAACCGACGCGGCTGTGTGTTATCCGTGTGCCGAATTGACTAGACGGTGCCGAATCGAGAAAGAATGTTGCGAGCTAAATGATCAACTAAAGTAAGAAAGAAAATATGTAATTCAGATGAAGAGGGATCTGGGAGGGAGGGGTGATGCCAAACACGTAGGGTGATGACAAAAACCCTTTGTGAATGCTTGGACCAGAGATGCTGAACCCTAAACCCTAAACCCTAAACCCTAAACCCTAAACCCTAAACCCTAAACCCTAAACCCTAAACCCTAAACCCTAAACCCTAAACCCTAAACCCTAAACCTAACCCTAAACCCTAAACCCTAAACCCTAAACCCTAAACCCTAAACCCTAAACCCTAAACCCTAAACCCTAAACCCTAAACCCTAAACCCTAAACCCTAAACCCTAAACCCTAAACCCTAAACGCTACCCTAATTACCCTAAACCCTAAACCCTAAACCCTAAACCCTAAACCCTAAACCCAACAAAATCATAAAGCCTGGTGACGCTTAAAGCAATACGACCTGGAAGGCTCCGACAGCAGCAGCTGCAACTCGAGCGAGCGCCTCATATTTTTGTTGCTCCCAGGGCTTGAGGTTGTTGAGGGTAAGCCCTAAACCCTAAACCCTAAACCCTAAACCCGAAACCCTAAACCCTAAACCCTTGAGCTTCACGGCGTAAGGGTTCTCTAAACCGTCAACCCTCGATCCTGAAGCCTCTGCTCAGCTCTTTGTGGCTCTCGTGTTCTTTGTTGCCTTGGAATTCCCGAGCGTCACATCCTAAACCCTAAACCCTAAACCCTAAACCCTAAACCCTAAACCCTAAACCCCAAACCCCAAACCCCAAACCCCAAACCCCAAACCCCAAACCCCAAACCCGAAAGCCATGCTAGGGGGAGTGTCTGTTTACATTTTGAGTTTTCCGGTTCAGGGGTTAGAGTGGGCAGTCTTGCTGAATTGTCATACACGCTAGGGTTTAGGGTTGAGGGTTTAGGGTTTGTAGATGGGTTTATTGGAAGGCGATGCCGGCTGAGGTTTAACCGCCCCTTGTTCGCGAACTGCCCCAACTCTCCAGGGTTTAGGGTTTGGGGTTTGGGGTTTAGGGCTTGGGGCTTGGGGTTTAGGGTGTGAGGTTTAGGGTTTAGGGTTTAGGGTTTGGGGTTTAGGGTTTAGGGTTTAGGGTTTCTGAATCCTATCCTAGCCCTGGCATTCCTCATGTTTGCTGAGACGGCTCAGGGCGGCCCCACCAAGTCTTAAACCTTATCAGCCCTAAACCGCACAAGTTTTTGGGTTTCAGGACCCTAGCCCTAAACCCTAAACCCTAAACCCTAAACCCTAAACCCTAAACCCTCTGATGGCAGCCTGCCAGGACGCAGGTCAAGGAGCAGACTCTACAGCTCAGGCAGGATCACGCCACCCCTTGAGCCTGCAAGTGTGGGCTTTCAGTCTTTTAGGGTTTAGGGTTTAGGAACGGTTTAGGGTTAGGGTTTAGGGTTTAGGGTTTAGGGTTTAGGGTTAGACCATGAAGCAGAGGAGCCATTTTTTTTGGCACCCCCCTGCCAATTTAATAGTCACAGACGAAAACCCGTCCTTTGCTAATGGAGTTTTTATCTTGTGTTGTCTGCCTAGGGGGCCAACTGAACCCTAAACAGTTTATTGTTCAGATACCTTAATAGGAGCCTTACTAGTATAGGGTAAAGGGTTTAGGGTTGGGGTTTGGGGTTTAGGGTTTAGGGTTTTGCCTCTAGGTTGTGGTGTCGGGAGCTCTCATGTTTTCCTCGTGCGAGGTGGGACCAACACAGTGGGCGCTTGGGGTTCCTAGGATTTGTGGCAGGAAGGTGGAGCAAGGAAACCCTAAACCCTAAACCCTAAACCCTAAACCCTAAACCCTAAACCCTAAACCCTAAACCCTAAACCCTAAACCCTAACCTTAAACTCCTAAACTCGGAAGCCGCAGAGTCGCACAAACTCATGTAGGGAAGTCTATGGGGGGTTTACGCTATTGGGGGGGAACCTCACTGGGGTCCTTCTTATAAGGGTTTAAGGATTCGAGGGTTTAGGGTTTAGGGTTTAGGGTTTAGGGTTTAGGGTTCAGGGTTTAGGGTTTAGGGTTTAGGGTTTAGGGTCCTTCTTATAAGGGGATCCTGCTCGTCTTTGAGGGTTTATATTACGTGCCCCTTATGATCGTAAATCCCCATATCGAGATCTGTGGATCTGTGGCTCGGCGTTCAGAGTGGTTTGGGGAGTATTTGTTGCGCAGAAGCCCAAACCCTGCTGTTTAGGATTAAGGGTTGACCTGCAACTCGATTCTGGGGTTCAGGCTGAACCCTAAACCCTAAACCCCAAACCTCAAACCCTAAACCCTAAACCCTAAACCCTAGGCCTAAACCCTAAACCCTTAACCCTAAAGGCAAAGCTCAACCCCTCTACGCGTGGCAGCCTGGTTCTTATCGGGGATAACCAGTGGTGTCTTCATTCTCTTCTTGTTTGAGGGCCCGGTTCCCTTCTTAGTTAGGTTTAGGGTTTAGGGTTTAGGGTTTCGGGTTTAGGGTTTAGGGCTTAGGGTTTAGGGTTCAGGGTTCAGGGTTCAGGGTTTAGGGTTTAGGGTTTAGGGTTTAGGGTTAGGTCCGGTTAGGTTTAGGGTTTAGGGCTTAGGGCTTAGGGTTTAGGTTTCAGGGTTTAGGGTTTAGGGCTGCTAAACAAACAAAGGGGCGCCCCTTTTTCACTTTCCGGATTGATTTTCGGGTTCCTCGCAGGGAATACAGGGAGTTAGTGCACCGATGCAATCCCTTAACAAGGTTGCATGCAGGGAATGAAAGTACTGTAAACCCGTTCGGCATGACAATTCCTTTTCCCTTCTTTGGCACCTTACTAGTTCTTAGTAGGAAGTGGTTTTCCGTATTAAGAACTAGTAGGGTTTAGGGTTTAGGGTGTAGGGTTTAGGGTTTAGGGTTCAGGGTTTAGGGTTTAGGTTTGCCGGCAGGCAGCAGCATGACGAAGAGATGTCGCAGCGGGTGCGCCAGACGGACACCCTAAAGCCCTAAGCCCACAGGTTATATGGGTTGGTGGTCTCTTTAAGTAGGGGTTCTGTTTTATAGGGGCCTTATATTCGGGGTTCCTAGGGGCTATATTAAGGTATAAGGGTAACAGATAAAGAGGCCACGGGCGTTACAACCTCGAACGCTTAGGGTTGATAAACCCTAAACTCCCCTAAGCCCTGAGCCCTGGGCCCTGAAAGTTCTCTCAACCCCAAGTCCGCAAAACCTAAACCCTAAACCCTAAACCCTAAACCCTAAACCCTAAACCCCTAAACCCCTAAACCCTAAACCCTAAACCCTGTTCTCCATGCCTGAACCCTCCAAAAGTCCTTTCCTCCGAGCCTCAAGCCCTCTGAGCTCCTTAAAGTCCTGGGTTTCCCTACTACCCCCGGTTTAGGGTTTAGGGTGTAAAGTTTAGGGTTTAGGGTTTAGGGTTCAGGGCCCCCTCTATACTACCCTAATTAGGCTTCATTAACCCTAAATAGCCTTGATTATGGGGGGGGGGGGGGGGGCGGACCCTAGATAAGGTAGTGTAGGGGGTAGTAGAGGAACCCATGATAAACGCCTCAGACCTTGAACCCCAAACCTAACAAGCTCTTTCAACAAGCCAGGGCCTCGAACCTTATGATCCCTTTGAGATTCCAGAGTCCCAAGAATCCTCGGAGCCATCTGGGCTCCCTTGATATTCGGTTTAGGGTTTAGGATTTAGGGTTTAGGGTTTAGGGTTTAGGATTTAGGGTTCAGGGTTTGGGGTTTAGGGTTTAGGGTTTACAGTCTTAAACCTTGTGATCCCTTTGAACCCTTAGACAGTAAACCCTGAGAATCCTAAGGCCCAGAGAGTGCGCCTTTATTGTCCCAGCTGCCTGAAAAAGGATCCGAAGGTTTAGGGCTTGGGGTTTAGGGTTTAGGCTCTCCAGGATCTACCATATCTAACCCGAATCCACGAAGACCGAGGTGATTTCGAAGCCGAGTAGGGCCAGCAAAAGGGCTTGAGGGACCGCGCGCGCGCTGGCGCTGCGCTGGACGCAGCTTCGGGTTTCAAGCAGGGTTTGAGGCCTGTAGGGTTTAGGGTTTAGGGTTCAAGGTTTAGGGTTTAGGGTTTAGGGTTCAGGGTTTAGGGTTTAGGGTTTAGGGTTTGGGTCAAGGGAGTTATATTCGAACCCCTAATTTTTTTTCCCGAAGAGGTTCCCTGCATATCCTCCTAACACCCTAAACCCTAAACCCTAAACCCTAAATGTCGGCAGCAGGTCGCGAGACACGCCAGAGACATGGCGGGCGTGGTCATGCAGCACGAAGAGGAACCTTCCCAACTCTCCCTGCACACGGAGAGTTCCCCTAAGCCCTACACAGTACAGGGTTTAGGGTTTGGGGTTTAGGGTTTAGGGTTCAGGGTTTAGGTTTAGGGTTTAGGGTTTAGGGTTTAGGGTTTAGGGTTTAGGGTTTAGGGTTTAGGGTTTAGGGTTTAGGGTTTAGGGTTTAGGGTTTAGTATTACTTTCTTTCAACCTTGAAGCCCCCAAACCCAAGCCAAAAGCCTGAGCTCACTGGTTCCCTACCTAGAGGCCCAGAGCGGCACCAATCCCACCTCCTAACATGGCGCGCCTAAACCCTAAACCCTAAACCCTAAACCCTAAACCCTAAACCCTAAACCCTAAACCCTAAACCCTAAACCCCTGCATTTGGCGGCCCTTGGTATTTCGGGGGAAGCCCTGAACCCCCAAACCCGACCAAGCGGATGACAGGAGATGCGCCGCCTGAGTCAGAGGTCGCACGTCGCAGAATTGTAGGGTTTGGAGGTTTCGGGTTTAGGGTTTAGCGTTTAGGGTTTAGGGCTTTTGGTTTTGGGGTTTGGGGGACTAGGGCTTGGGGTCTAGGGTTTAAGGTTTGGGGGTGTTGGGATTTAGGATTTGGGTTTAGGGTTTGGGGGTTTAGGAATTTGGGGTTGGGGCTAGGGTTTAGGGTTTTCAGGGTTTAGGGATTGGGGTTTAGGGTTTAGGGTTTAGGGTTGGGATGTAGGAAAATTAGGGTTTGGAGTTTAGGGGTTTAGAGATGTGGGGGCTTAGGGTTTTGGGAATTCGGGGAGGTGGTTTTGGGGATCTGCGGTATAGGGTTTCAGGATTTTTTGGGGGCTCAGGGGGTTTTGGGGCTCTAGGGGGATTCAGGTTTTATGGTGTTGTTTTGGGATTTGGGTTATAGCGTTTTACGGTTGAGTTTCTAGCTGTTGGCTTGAGTTGATCTCTAAGACCTCAACTTTTTTGAGACTTAGCACCCCCCCACCATCACGCTAAACTCCTAAACCCTAAACCCTAAACCCTAAACTCTAAATCCTATCCTCGAGTTGGTCCTTATTCCCCACCCTCGGTGAGGGGGTGAAAATGCTCCTGAAGCCTCCTGGCTTCCTCGCCCGGTGTCCCGCCCGACCTCCTGTGTTTAGGGTTTAGGGTTTCTGGGTTGCCCTTTCAGAGAAGCCCCAAGCGCTGAGGCCCCAAGGGTTTATGGTTTAGGGTTTAGGGTTTAGGGTTTAGGCCGAACCCCTACACCTGTAACGCCTAAGCAGCCCGGTCCGATCTTGCCTTCGCCTCGCATTTCCGGCATCACCAAAAATCTAGAAACCCCAGACCCCAAAAACCCCCTACACCCTAAAACCTGACCCTCAAACCTAAACCCTAAAACCTAAACCCTACTTAGCCAATAGTTGAACTTTAAACTTTTTGGGTTTCCTTATTTAGTAGGAATCATAAGGTTTAACCTTTTTTCCCTTTGGTTATTGGACAAGTGAGTAAGGGCCCCCTTTGTAAAATGTAGCCCTGGGTCAGATACGAGAACCAGCTGGCCCTGGGCCCAACTCCGGCACTCCCATGCCTTCCCCGGCCAGGGCAAGGTGCACAAGGGATGGTTTATGGCTTAGGGTTTAGGGTTTAGGGTTACGGTTTCGTTAGGGCTTACATAGGGTTTTAGGGTAAGGGCTTCAGAGGTTTGGGCCTTTGAATCGGTCTAGTTGCTGCTTATTGCTAGGGTTTCAGGGGTCCATTTGGCCCAAACCGAGCCTAGACCCGGAAGTTTAAGGGATCTTCAAGCAAGAATCGTCATCTCTCAACACCAGAAACATCTCGGCTTTCGCCGGCCCCACTGTTGCTGTTTTGCGACTATCAGGTTTAGGGTCGACAGTTTTGCGTTGAGGTGTTTGGGTTTAGGGTTAAAACCCTTTCAAAATTTAGGGTTTAATTCAGGCTTATGGACTCACGAGAATGTGTTTAGAAGTGGGGACTTCCCGGAAGGTTGTCCTGTTTAACAGTGATTCCTCTCAAGCCACAAGTCGTGTTGTCTAAAGATGGCACGATCTCAGTGCTAGCTGTTACACCCTAAACCCTAAACCCTAAACCCTAAACCCTAAACCCAGGGTTCATGTTTTGGTCCTTTTCTTGGGTCCGTCAAGCATTTCTCCGTAGCTTTTGTCTTCTTCGATAGCCGCGTTCTGCCACCACGTGCGGTTGCTTTCGTTTTGGTTTCCTTCATACATACATCCCACGTCCCCCAATGTTGTACGCTCTACAAAGAAGGAGCTCGTCTGGAGATGTGCTAAAGGCATTTTGCAACGTTAAAGCGGGCAACCCCCCACCCGAAACCTAAACCCCAATTACACACCAGACCTTAGCCTTAAACCCTAAACTCCAAACCCGAAACCCGAAACCTTAAACCCTAAACCCTAAACCCTAAACCCTAAACCCTAAACCCTCCCCAAGCCACGAACGCAAGCCCCCCACCCTCCGACAGCGCGCAGCGCTGCCGGCCAGGCCGGTCTGGGGCACCAGAGACCGCGCTGGGCAAGGCTCCGGTTCCTGAAAGTTTGTTTGGGGTTTAGGGTTTAGGGTTTAGGGTTTAGGGTTTAGGGTTTCGGGATTCGGGTTTAGGGTTTAGGGTTTAGGGTTTAGGGTTTGGGGTTTGGGGTTTGGGGTTTGGGGTTTGGAGTTTGGAGTTTGGGGTTTGGGGTTTGGAGTTTGGGGTTTGTGGTTTGGGGATAGGGCTAGGGTTTCGGGTTTAGGGTTTAGGGTTTAGGGTTCAGGGTTCAGGGTTTAGGGTTTCGGGTGTTTCGGTCTGATGGTGTGGGCCCTATTGAGTTCCGCGCTCGGGCGTTTTTGTTGCCCCGTATTTCCGGAGATGGCCACTAACCCTGAGGGTCCACGTACCTCGTTATCATGTACTTGGGCCCAAAAGTACCTAAATAGGAGGTACTTTGGGGCCCAAGTATTCCGTATTTAGGTACAGGGACCCTTGGGGTAAGTTGTAGGGTTTGGTGTTGCAGGCAGGTCCCAAATTTTCAAAAACGCCAGTTCGAGGCAGCGTCAGCCCGGCGGGCCTACGACGCTGCTTTGCCAAGAGGGTTTAGGGTTTAGGGCTAGGGTTTAGGGTTTAGGGTTTAGGGTTTAGGGTTTAGGGTTTAGGGTTTAGGGTTTAGGGTTTAGAGTTTAGGGTTTAGGGTTTCGGGGCATCCCGAACCTAAGTCCTACATCCCGAAACCCTAAGCCCTAAACCCGAAACCCTAAACCCTAAACCCTACATCCCGAAACCCTACATCCCGAAACCCTAAACAACCCAAACCCCCAAACCCTGTGGGGCCATGGTTCGGTGCTGTGTTTTTGCGCCCAAAGCTGGGGATGCCCACTCCCCCCCCCCCTCCCCCAATCTTCATGGGTTTAGGGTTTAGGGTTTAGGGCTAGGGTTTAGGGGGTTAGGGTTTTGGGTTTTGGGTTTAGGGTTAGGGCTAGGGTTTAGGGTTTAGGGGGGCTTAGGCCAAAGGGTTTGTACCGTCACCACAACTGCGGAAGAACCTGGCGAATTTGATGCTTTGGCTGTGAGGTTTAGGGTTTTTCCTTCCGCTAACCTCACGGAGCCGTTTATTTTGCCCAAAGGGATATATGTTAAACATGCCAATTGTGCTCCGCATAGCTACGTACCCCAACATACTGTCATGTAAGTACACAGGCACCACAACCATCTCTTCTTCTACAGGGCTCAGAGATTGGCGTTCATGTAGTCTCGGGTTTAGGCTTTGGAGCTTAGGGGCCGTAGGGCTTCAGTGTTTAGAACCCTAAACCCTAAACCCTAAACCCTAAACCGCCTCTTACAGAATAAGATGCCCTAAACCCGAAGAGGCGCCGAAACCAAAAGAGGCGCCGGCCATCCGGCGCGCCCTTACCTGCGAGGAGGGGGGGAAGGAATGGGTCTTCAGTTCTGTTTTTTCGAGTTCCGAGGCGTTTCGGGAATCCTAGGCCCTCAGCCCTTAACCCTGAACCCTTAACCCTGACAGGTTTACTTAGGGCATCCAGGGCTTAAGCCCCCTATGCCGCGAAAGTGGTTCCACATCTCTGAGACAACAGGCAGGAGGGAATGAGGTGGGATGAGGCAAGCGGCTTAAGCCCCAAGACCCCAAGATAAGATACAGCTGCACCCTAAGACCGAAATCCACTTCCCAAAGCCCCAAATCCTCCATCTCTGCACCTCCTACCACCCACGAACCCTCTAACCCCAACCACCCGAACACACAGCAAAACCCTCTAGATACAAACGTTGAACATTGAGTCCGAGCCCCTGCTCTTAACCCCCTGAACTCTAGCCCCCCGAACCCTGACACCCCAACACAAAACCCCTGAAGACTAGGTTTAGGGTTTAGGGTTTAGGGTTTAGGGTTTAGGGTTTAGGGTTTAGGGTTTAGGGTTTAGGGTTTAGGGTTTAAGTAGGTTTAGGGTTGAGGGTTCAGGGTGTAGAATGATCAGGGGGCCCGGAGAACTGGGAGCTTCCAGATCAGGATAGCAAGACTGGTCGTCGAGGCAAAGCCCGAGCACGGGCTGCAGTCCCTTGCGCCAACACTTGAGAAGTAATGAGGGTTTAGGGTTTAGGGTTTAGGGTTTAGGGTTGTCCGGCACGATGTCTTCTTCAAGCCGACGTCCTTGGGTCTTCCATTAGACACGAACATGCACGTTGCCTGCTCAATTTATGTCGACTACGTCATGCGCTCCTGCGGCACTGCTTGGCAGAACATCCAAGACATACTGACATACCTGAAGGGCAATCTGCCTCCGAGCACCTCCTCGACGTGCTGCAGAAAACATTCTGGCTGCCGAAGCTGTGCGCAGTCCACGTGGCACGGCTGCTCGAGCTAGTGCATCCCGAGGCCAGAGCCCACCCCCAAACGCACCACGACATTAAACCCTAAGCCCTAAACTCAAGAACCCTAAACCCTAAACCACGAACCCTAAGCCCTAGGCCCCAAGCCCTAAACCCTAAACCCTAACCCCTAAACCCTAAACCCTAATCCCTAATCCCCTATACCCTAAACCCTAAACCCTAAACCCTCAACCCTAAACCCCAAACCCTAAACCCCAAGCAAGCTGAGACCCCGAGGAGTCTCGACTTGGCGCGGCGGGCAAGTGCGAGTCGGATGCGGAGGTGGGAACTCACCAGGGCTGATTCAAGGTTTAGGGTTTAGGGTTTAGGGTTTAGGGTTTAGGGTTTAGGTTACTAGTTACTTTTCTCTTGTGGCCCCTTCATATATATATATATATATACCACAACAACTCCCAACAACCCTGTTCTAGTTATTAAGGCCCCTATAGTATTCGCTTCAGAATATTCACGGATTTTCAGGGGGTAAGGGGCTAAGATTTTGGGGTTTAGGGTTGAATGGGTTTCGGGGGTTAAGATTTGGGGTTTAGGGTTTTCAAGGCTTCAGGAGGGTTTTACACGGTTTGGCTAGGTTGGGGTTTAGAGTTTGGGTTTTGGAGCGCTGAGTCCGGACTGGGCTTTTGAGCCATTGCTGGCAATTCCATCACGGCACCCATCACAGGGTCCCTCAACCCTCCCCCCCAAATAAGGCCCTACTAGATCCTAAACCCAAAACCCTAAACCCTGAACCCTAAACCCTAAACCCAAAACCCAAAACCCACGTCAGGCCCCTAGCTGGCGCCCCACCATCAGCAACTGAAAGACAAGGTCTTAGAGCTATGCACTCTTGCTCGCCTGGGGTTTTGGGGTTTAGGGTTTAGGGGTTTAGGGTTTAGGGTACCTAATCCCTATATACCTTACCTGAAGGCTCCAATGTAGCTCCTTTTTAGGTGAGTTGCAGGGGGCTTTAGAATACCACACCAAAAGAGGTATTACGTCAGGAGCCTCTAGGTAAGTCCTAAAAAGCCTGACCGCTGAGCCTGCCCAAAGGTCGCCCGATACAGACGGAAAGCGCAGAAGCTGAAAGCCAAGCGTGGGGAGGAGCGCTTGCTAAACCCTAAGCCCTAAACCCTAAAACCTAAGCCCTTGTCGAGTTTGTTGTTTCTTTGGGTTAGCTTGGGGGAGGTGGGTTCGCTTTGGGGAGGGGGTGTGGTGTTAGGGCTTATAGAGTTCAGCTCTGCGGCACAGTGAGAGACTGCGCACAGGTCGACAGCCGCTGTAGGACCTGTCCTGTAAGTGACGCTTCTGGAATGCCGCCTTAAGCAGGTCACAGTTGCGGGTGAACCTCAGGCGAGTTTCTCGTTGGAGTGCCAGAGAGCAAACTGCTCGCGATGCCTTGCGCAGTAAAGTGGCACCATCGCTTGGGTTTGGCGTGTGCCCAGCCCTTGATGCTGTGACACTCATCAGCGATGACCATTCCATTTGCACATCCGGCTGCAAGAGCTCGCCATTCCAGCGCCTGGTCTAGAGTTCATGTGGGTTTACTGTACTTAAACTTAGGGCTTTGACGGAAATTGCCTTACCTTGGGGACGAAACGAACCCTAAAAGGGTTTATGCCTCATATACAAAATCGGAATTATAGTAGTCAGGGTACATGACCCCCAATTTTAGGGTTCATTTCGTCCCCAAGGTACGCAGCACGGTTTTCCTTGCAAAAGTTCACATTCTCAGAGCCTCGGGAGCCCCCAAACCCAACACCCTGCAATGTTTTTTGGGCCCCCCAGAAATTACCCTAAACCCTAAACCCCTAAACCCTAAACCCTAAACCCTAAACCCCCTAAATAGGAGTACGGAGTCCTTGGGGGGGGGGGGGGGGGGGGGGGGCAGAATTCTCCACCCTATGAGTTTGGGCTTCGGTCTTCGAGTTGGGTGTGTTGGCTTTTTCAGGTGTTTGACATTCAGTCCGGATCTCTTTCAGTTTGGGGCTTGGGGTTTAGGGTTTAGGGTTTAGGGTTTAGGGTTTAGGGTTTAGGGTTTAGGGTTTAGGGTTTAGGGTACTTTGGGTTCGGGCTTTGGGGTTTCTCGGGCGCGCAGGCGAAGACGAAAGAAAGTTTGAAGCAGGGGGACCATCTGACATGGAACGCTTCGAATGTAAGTAGCTCGAGCTGAGGTCTCGGTATTCCCTAAAACCTAAACCCCTAAGCCCTAAACCCTAAACCTAAACCCTAAACCCTAAACCCTGAACCCTAAACCCTAAACCCTAAGCCCTAAGCCCTAAGCCCTAAACCCTAAACCCTAAACCCTACACTTCGGACCACGCTATTGCCGCAGGAGCTCCGCAGCATCCGCGCCAAGGTTTGCCAAGGCTCTCGGGATGCCCAAAGTGGGGTTTAGGGTTTAGGGTTTAGGGTTTAGGGTTTAGGGTTTAGGGTTTAGGGTTTAGGGTTTAGGGTTTAGGGTTTAGGGTTTAGGGTTTCAGGTTTCGGGTTCAGGGTTCAGGGTTTAGGGTTTAGGGTTGACCCTCTTCCTTCGCGCCTTAGAATCCTCCAAAGCAAGTCAAGAGCCCTAGTCCCGGATCATTCGCCCGACCACCACCCTCAAGTCAAAGGCAACTGCCAGGTCAAAGACCTCAAGGCCCCCAAGGTCTTCAGCGCGAAATAAAACCTTCAAGCCCCGTAAAGACTCCTAAGCCGCAAGCCTCAAGCCCTGTAAAACCTAAAACCCTCAACAGCTCATGCTCCCAAACCTCGAACCTTCCTTAAACCCTAAGACCCTGAACCCGAAGACTCGAAACGCCTGTAGGGTTTAGGGTTTAGGACTTAGGGTCACGCAGAGCCCGTGTGGGGCCCAACATTCCTTGTCATGCAGCTTTCTCTTGTTCGCAGCCAGTATGCGACTGCCGCTAACCCCGAACCTCTATACACTCTATAAATAAAGGATGTGAGAAAAGTCGTGCCAGTGTGAACGCATCACTGTAGAAGCTGTCAAGTGTCACGGGGGGCAGCTTCCTTGTGCAGTGGTGCAAGCATGGCTACACTGTGACAGGGTGCACTGACCCTGTTGGTACTGGATGTACTGAAGTTGCAACTGACCGTTGCGAGCACATCGACCCTAGATGGGCCAATCGTCTCGCTATACTGCTGAGGATGGTTGCAACGCAGTTCATCATCTTGTAGATGGGTTGAAGAGCAGTTCTGACCACTGCAGACTTGTTGCTGCTGGACCACTAGTCAGGGTTTAGGGTTCAGGGTTCAGGGTTTAGGGTTAAGGGGTGGGAGAGCATCATGACCTGCAAAGTGAGAAATGGCCGAATGGAATCAACTGCGAGAGATATAGAGAGAGAGAGAGAGATATCCCAAGCCTAAGCCTAAACCCTAAGCCCTAAACCCTAAACCCTTAAAGGCGGCGGCTGCGTGAAGGATTGTCGGCCTTCCACGAATCCCGAAGCATGATTGTTCAGACGCCAAGAGCTTGCCACTACATGCCGCTTGCTAGACCCTCTGTAAGCCCGAAAATACTAAACCCTAAACCCTACACCCTAAACCCTAAACCCTGTACAAGGCATTGTAAGCCCTCTAAACCCTGAATCCTAAACCCTAAACCCTCTAGAAGGCATTGTAAGCCCTAAGCCCTGAATCCTAAACCCTGAACCGACTCAGCGCGGGGGTCAAAACAAGAGAATCGTCCTTCAGGGATGATTTGCGGATTAGGTGCCCCGCCCCCCCCCCCCCCCCCCCCCCCCCAATTTCAGTCTGAGGGCTCCCTTTTCGGATGGGTTTGGGGTTTGGGGTTTAGGGTTTAGGGTTTAGGATTTAGGGTTTAGGGTTTAGGGTTTAGGTTTTGGGGTTTAGGGTTTAGGGTTTAGGGTTTAGGTTTTGGGGTTTAGGGTTTAGGGTTTAGGGTTAGGGTTTAGATTAGGGTTTAGGGTTTAGGGTTTAGGGTTTAGGGTTTAGGGTGTGAGGGTTCCGGTGATTCTGGGACTCGGGTGGCGCTATAGCCCGCACAGGCATGATGCTGGTCTCCGAGCGCGAGGACTCTACAACTACTGCCAGCTCGAACCTCCGAAGACCGAAACCCTAAAAGCGTTTCGGGTTTTAGGATTTAGGATTTAGGGTTTAGGGTTAGCCTCCAAAGACCCCCAAACCGGAAACCCGCGAAGTCCTAAACCCAAGACCCTAGACCACCCATTTGTAGACGCCTTAACGAAGCCCCGGTGCCCTATGTAAGCCCCCAATCCTTCGTCCTGGAAATGGCAGTGACAAGAGCGTCGGTTGCTTGAGGCTCAAGCTTCTTTCTTCCGAAGTATCGTATGGGGGGGCCTTAGCAATTGGAAAAGGGTTTGGGGGGGGGGGGGGGTACTTAGTATATATTTCCGACCCCTATATTCGGTTATAATATATTATACGATCAGGTGGTAATTCGGATAGTCCCCCCCCACTTGGCCATTCCTGTGGCCTAACTGCTAAGTTCCCTGAGCCTTTCTGTAGCTGCTGAGTAGGTCACTTGGGATATTCCTCTCATACTAAGAGTCCTTAATGGGGATTATACTAGGGGGTGCTAGAATCCCGATTAAGGACTGTTAGTGTAAGTACCCATAAGTAACCCTTTCTCTCGAAACCTAGCTTTAGAAGAAAGACACCACTGCCGACGACCAACTCACGTTGCAGTACGCGAACGCTGCTTGTGGCTTCGTGTTTTCTGCATGGCGCCCCCTCCCCCCCCCCCGGCCCTCCCACCCCAAGCTTGTGTTTAGAGGAGCTATATCACACAGGCAAGAAGTAAGAGAAGCCCCAACCGGCGGAGTCATAAAGAGACACACTACGTCAACCTTGCATGTGTCTCACTAAGCAGATGGCCCCGTGGAAATATTTCCCGCAAGAGCCTAAACACTAAGCCCCAAACCCCAAACCCCAAACGAAACCCTAAGCCCTAAGCCCTAAGCCCTAAGCCCTAAGCCCTAAGCCCTAAGCCCTAAGCCCTAAACCCTAAACCCTAAACCCTAAACCCTAAACCCTAAACCCTAAACCCTAAACCCTAAACCCGAATGGAACATCTCCGAGCAGCGCAGGAGGCGGCCTGGCTTTGCGTCGTGCTGCGCGCCTGGCGCGGTCAGGCTGACCATGCTTCTGAGGCGCGAAAATGCGGGGGCTTTCGGGTTTTGAGGGGTTAGGGTTTAGGGTTTAGGGTTTTGAGGGTTGAGGGTTTAGGGTTTAGGGTTGCTGTTGTTTTTTTTGGCGTTTAGGGTTTTCTTTTTTTTTGGAGGGGGGGGGGGGGGGGGGGGGGGTTTTAGGGTTTTAAGGGTTTTAGGGTTTTAGGGTGTCTTTTCCGGATTAAGGGGTGTTTAGGGTGCTTTAGGGTTTTTGGGGCTGTCGGATCCAAATGAGGGATGGGTTCATGCGTTTGGCTCAAGGTTTGCGGTGTAGTAGGGTTCTCTACATTATAGGGCTAAGAAGGAGGCGGGGGTCGAGTGTACACCCACTGAAATGATGCTTTCTCTTGAGCTTTTTCTGCATGTTAATTGCGCCACCCTAGGGTACCCCCCCCAAGTCGACCACGACGTCGACGACTTTTTTTTGCAGCTAGTACTAGTACCAGGACTGCAACGATCACCAGCGCAGCTGCAAGCTTTAAGACTCCGGGATCTTGAGTTACCCTAACCAAAAACCCTATGGTATGAAGCTACGGCTCTATAGGGTTTAGGGTTTAGCATTTAATTAAGGTTTAGGGTATAGGGTTTTTAGGATGGAGGAACGTAGGGTGTATTGGGGTTGAGGGAGAGCTTTGGGGGGGTCGAGGGTTGACGTGTGCTTCTAGCCGCACCACTGCCAGGCTGCTGTAGCAGTGCCCAGTGCGCCTGAGTGGCCTCTGCTTCTGGCAGGAGAAGGCTTAGGGTTTAGGGTTTAGTGTTTAGGGTTTAGGGTTTAGGGTCTAGGGTTTAGGGTTTAGGGTTTAGGGTTTAGGGTTGAGCCCAACCATCTCCTGTGGGTACCCCCTGACACACCCCAAACTAATGTAATCGGGTTTAGGATTTCGGGTTTTAAAACCTTTTTTTTGTAGGGAAGCCCCCCCGCAAGAAGGGCAAAAGCCCCCCGCAAATCAACCCCCCCCAACATTGCCCCCTGCAAGCCTTGAGGTGCAACTCATAGGGGCTGCGGGGTGTCCGTAGCTGCAGCACGGTGGGCCAGTTTGGGGTCGAGATCGGCCATGTTTTGCACGAGCACCCCTGAAGAAAAAGAGCATCACAGAGCTCCATGTGTGAAAGTGCGGCTTGCTTCCAAGATTCTTACCCTAAACCCTAAACCCTAAACCCTAAACCCTAAACCCTAGACCCTTGTACAAGTGTGATTGTCTGTGGGGGGGGGGGGGGGGGGGGGGGGGGGGGGGGGGGGAACATTCACGAGGTTGCAATATAACTCGCGGTGCCCCACAGGTTGCCAAGCAAGGGCGCAATGTGTCGCTTCATTATGCTCGGGACTCGAAACCCTAAACCCTAAACCCTAAACCCTCAACCCTAAACCTAAACCCAATCCCTTAAGCTGTGGCCTGTTCTCCTGGCAGGGCCCGCAGTGCTTTCCTTGGCCCTGGCGCGCGGCGCGCTGACAGCCTTGGCGGCGCTGCGTTCCGCGGCAGCTAAGGGTTGAAAGGGTTGTTTGGGTTTCCTTAACCCTAAACCCTAAACCCTAAATCCTAAGCCCTAGACCTAAACCGTATGAGCCCTGTGCCCCGCATGGTTTAGGGTTTAGGGTTTAGGGTTTAGTGTTTAGGGTTTAGGGTTTAGGGTGTAGGGTGTAGGGTGTAGGGTGTAGGGTTTCGTGCTACAGGGTTTGTTGTTCTTTTGGGGGTTTTAGGGCTGACGAACTTTGTAGAGTTGACAGGGCTCAGGGTTTATGGGGAGTGGGGGTGTAGACATTGTTTGGCGGGTGGTTTAGTTGCGGCTTACTACAATGCTAAGTGGGAATGGACGCAAACGCCTCAGGGCCTCTTGTAGCGCCCGAAGTACCCGACGTGGCCGAAGCCTCGCATGCTGATTTTGAAGGACGAGTGCTTTCTTCAACTCTTGCTGGGGCACAAACGTGTGGAATTTCGCAAAGTTGATCAAGACACTGCGCGATTCGCCGAAGAGCGGTTTCTCACCTCTCGCTCTCCGGTTACGACTGGGCAGCCGGCTCACTACTTCATCGCCAAGATGGGTTTAGGGTTTAGGGTTTAGGGTTTAGGGTTTAGGGTTTAGGGTTTAGGGTTTAGGGTTTAGGGTTTAGGGTTTAGGGTTTAGGGTTTAGGGTTTAGGGGGGCCCTTCGACCCTGGAGGCCTGGGGAGTCGATGGCCTGCCCTACATTTTGCCAGGGACCGGCTGGTTCTCCTCCACATGTCTCTAGGATGCCCAGTAGTACCCTTATTCCCTTTTTGGGGGTTTAGGTTCCCTTATACCCTTATTCCCTTTTTGGGGGGTTTAGGTTCCCTTATACCCTTATTCCCTTTTTGGGGGGTTTAGGTTCCCTTATACCCTTATTCCCTTTTTGGGGGGTTTAGGTTCCCTTATAAACCCCTTTAGGCAAAAAAGGGCACCCTTTTTTAAGCCTAGGTTACTGGGCAGCCTAGTTCTGGAAGATGCAGATGAAGTGGTTGCCTCTATAGCTCACTCAGATTCGTGGTCTTCGGATTGGCATGGGTTCCCGCAGGGCTGGTGTCTGAGTCGTTTTTTTTCGGGGTTTAGGGTTAGGGTTAGGGTTTAGGGTTTAGGGTTTAGGGTTTAGGGTTTAGGGTTTAGGGTTTAGGGTTTAGGGTTTAGGGTTTAGGGTTTAGGGTTTAGGGTTTAGGGTTCAGCCTCGCTCTCACCCTAAACCCTAATACCCCGAAAGACTTATCGAAAGGTGCCTGGCTGGCAGCTGTGGCCCTGAGCCGCCACGAGGCTCGGGTTTAGGGAGAGGTTTTAGGGTCTTATAGGGTGTAGGGCTTGGGGTTTTATCGGGTTTGGGGTTTTGGGGTTTAGGGTTTAGGGTTTAGGGGGTATAATATTATGAAAGGCCCTCAGTATATTATTATTGTGCTTACATTATACACGGGCCTTTTATCTAATTAATAATACTGGCCCGTAGAATACAATTATAAGTGAACGAATACGTGCAGTGAACGCAGTAATTGTATGAACGAAGTGAACAGTGAACTGAATTATTGTATTTGCAAGGAATTTAGGACGCGCGAAATACAATAATGGAGAGAACGAAGTGAAACAAAGGAATTTAAGGGGGCCACAATATTATTATTACAAAAGCCCCCTTAATAGTAAAACAACCAAAGGATAGGAAAGTTATTCCTGATCCAATAGATGACAGGGAATTCCAGGAATTAAAATCTACGGTGACGGTGAGATGATCTTGCCTGGATCCTTCATTGTAGTTCTGTTGGGGGGAGGGTGGGGGGGGGGGGGTACCGCATATGTGGCTTCGCAAAGCAGCAAACTCCATAAACCAGATAAACCTGATCAACCCGATTATCCCTTTAAAGCCGACAAAGCCTGCACACCCTGCCAGCCCTAGTACCCCGAGAAAGACTTTAGACCCTGCAAACCCGAAAAACCCTACATAAACCCTGTAAGCATTCTAAGACCTCCGAATCCTCCAAACCCTCTAAACCATCCCTAACCCTACTCCCTAAACCCCAAACCCTAAACCCTAAACCCCAAACCCTAAACCCCAAACCCTATACCCTACACCCTACACCCCAACCCTACACCCTAAACCCTAAAGCCCGTGCCAGGCGGAGTTGCGAACCCAGCAGGACAAGGCCTTTCCATGTCCCTAAACCCTCAACCCTCCCACAAAACCTCCCAAAACCCCAAGAACCCTGACCTTCTCAAGCCCTAAGAAGTCCCTGCAAGCCTTGAAAAGGTTTAGGAGCCTACATCCCGAGCCCGGAGCTTTGACATGGTACTGTCTGAATTCTTGTGCCCAACCCTAAACCCGAACTCCTAAACAGCCCAGCACCGAAGGGGTGTCGCACACCACTGCGGATCGTCTGCAAGTGGTTGTGCCTAGCCAAGAACTGAGCTATGCATACCACCCCCTAAACCCTAAACCCTAAGCCCTAAGCCCTAAGCCCTAAACCCTAAACCCTAAACCCTAAACCCTACATACACTTGTTGGCTTTCCTTTTCTCTTTGTGTTTTGTTCTTTGTGGTATCCCCATGTTTAGAGGAGAAGGAAGTCTCGGAACTGGTTTGTGGTGTTTAGGGTTTAGGGTTTCGGGTTTCGGGTTTAGGGTTTAGGGTTAGGATTTGGTGCCTTCGGTGTTTCTGACGTGGGAATTTTCAGGGGGATGGGATGCTAATGTTTAGAACGAGTCTCGTCTTTGCGGAGCAGGTGACCGTTTTTTTAGCCTTGGGGAGGACATGAACCCTAGGGGGTTTAGGGTTTAGGGTTTAGGGTTTAGGGTTTAGGGTTTAGGGTTCATAAACCTTAGTAGGAGTTATCGTAATATAGGGTATGTGACCCCAGTTTTGGGGTTCATCTGGTCCCCAAGGAACTTTTCTCGACAGATCTGGACTCCACTGTCGACCCCACCTTCCCCAAAAGAAGGTCCCTAAACCCTAAAGCCTAAACCCTAAACCCTCAACCCTAACCCCTAAACCCTAAACCCTAAACCCTACAGTCGCCCGAACCCGTACCTGCCCACCGCTTTTTTTGTCCCTGGCAGGCCATGTCTCGCAGCACCGCAGCAATAGCAATGCTGCGTCGGGGGCCCAAACTCTCTCTATAAGGGCTTAGGGATGAGGGTTTAGGGTTTAGGGTTTAGGGGTTAGGGGTTAGGGGTTCGGGTTAGCTGACTTCTAGGACCCGGAGCCAGCCCCTCTTTCCTTTTGTATAGGGTGTAGGTTCCCTTACAAGCCCCTTGAAACCAAAAAGGGTTTAGGGTTTAGGGTTTAGGGTTCAGGGTTTAGGGTTTAGGGTTTAGGGCTCCTAGGTCACGCCTGGGTCTAGGCTTAATAGGCTCGCAGCGGACGTCGTGTGCCTTTTCGGCTTCAGGGTTCAGGGTTTAGGGGCTTAAGGTTTTGGGTGTAAGGCTGGAACCGGCAAACCCTAAAGCCTAAACCATAAACCGTCCAAACCCCCGAGCTGTCCATGGAGTGGGGCGTCAACGGCCGGGTGCAGTTGTTGGCAGTTTCTCCTTTGAAGTGGGAGTTTAGGGTTTAGGGCTAGGGTTTAGGTCTTAGGGTTTAGGGCTTAAGGCCTAGGCTACGAGGTTCATGGCTCAGGGTTCAGGGTTTTGGTCTCGTCGAGAACTTTGGGGTTTACTCTGCAGACATCAGCTCAGGCTTCGAACACCAGCAGCCCTAGCAGCAGGAATGGGTTTTTACTTGAAGCTTGCAGGAGGTCTTCGAGTCTAGTGCATCCACGCGAATCCCATACAAATCTTTTCAATCCCAAACCCTCAAGCCTAAAACGCCCTAAACCCTAAACCCTGAACCCTCAACCCTAAACCCTAAACCCTAAACCCTAAAACACACCCTAAACCCTAAGAAGCCCTAAGCGCCTGTCGTCCTGCTTTTTGAATGTTGAGGCAACGAGAGCCGGGCTCTGCGCTGCCAGGGCAGACGTCTCAACCTTGGTGTGCGTACGGAGTTTAGGGTTTAGGGTGTAGGGTGTAGGGTCTAGGGTTTAGTTAGGGTTTAGGGTTTAGGGTTTAGGGTTTAGGGTTTAGGGTTTAGGGTTTAGGGTTTAGGGTTTAGGGTTTAGGGTTTAGGGTTTAGGGTGAGTGTCTGGGGCGGTTTGGAGAGGTTGTAGGGGGTAGGGGTGGGGACTGGAACCAGTCGATGCAGGATGCAGGGTTGTCGTCAAGAACCCCTTGAAACCCTGTACTTGCAGGTTCATGGTACTTATTGACCAGCTTTCTAACGCCCCGTAAGTGCCCTAATATGGTTACAAGTACAGTTACAAGTACAGCAGCAATGGACTATAATCAGTACCATGAGCCTTAGTAGGGTTTAGGGTTCAGGTTTAGGGTTTAGGGTTTAGGGTTTAGGGTTTAGGGTTTAGGGTTTAGGGTTTAGGGTTTAGGGTTTAGGGTGAGTGTCTGGGGCGGTTTGGAGAGGTTGTAGGGGGTAGGGGTGGGGACTGGAACCAGTCGATGCAGGATGCAGGGTTGTCGTCAAGAACCGTACTTGCAGGTTCATGGTACTTATTGACCAGCTTTAACTGTACTTCTAACGCCCCGTAAGTGCCCTAATATGGTTACAAGTACAGTTACAAGTACAGCAACAATGGGTTATAATCAGTACCATGAGCCTTAGTAGGGTTTAGGGTTCAGGTTTAGGGTTTAGGGTTTAGGGTTTAGGGTTTAGGGTTTAGGGTTTAGGGTTTAGGGTTTAGGGTTTAGGGTTTAGGGTTTAGGGTTTAGGGCCCTAAAGCCCAAGGCAGCCAAAGCCTGTAGGGCGTGCTAAGGAGCTGCCATGCGCGCATCGCAGCGCTGGATGCGACCCGGTCGGATGAGCGGGTCGAAGGTTTGGCCCTAAACCCTAAACCCTAAACCCTAAACCCGGAAAGAGTGCTTGAACTTTTTTGGTTCAGAGGTCCCCACTGGCTAAGTGATTTTAGGGAACATCGGGTCTCAGGGTGCAGGTCTTTGGGCGTCTGTAGGCTGCTTTGTTGCATTTCAGACTCAGATGTTGTTCTGGGTTTTCTGGTGCAATGAGGCCACAAGCTGAGTCAGCTTCTTGTGGGGAGCGCTGTTGTCCTACGATGAAAAGGCTTGGGGTATGTTTGGCTGGCTCGCTTGCTTGTTCACCTCAATACTTCAAGTACTGCAAAGATGCTGCACCCTTTGCCACTTGTTAGTCTTATCCATCGGGTGCGCATGGGCCGAGAGTCGTTCCTATGTAATCTTGGTCACCCAGTGGCACCCTTTTCCCTTTTTTTGGTTCAAGGTTCCTAAGCCTTATCCCCAAAACCCCAAACCCCAAACTTGGCCCCAGACCCGAAACCCTAAACCCCAAACTTGACCCTAAACCCTAAACCCTAAACCCTAAACCCTAAACCCCAAAGGTTCTAAGCCTTACAGACCTCTACAAAGGCTTCTGACCATGGCTCGGCCCTTCACGGCCTGGAAGGACATCACGAAAGAGGCCCTGAGGGTTGTGTGGCATTTGGGGTTTAGGGTTTGGGGTTTAGGGTTTAGGGATTAGGGTTTAGGGTTTAGGGTTTAGGACACAAGGCTCCTTCCCGTGTAGCAGAGGATCTTATGCAGTTCTGGCGCAATCTGGTGCCACAACCGATCCGGGAAGGGGTGCGCATCGTCCAAGCCCTCCAGACTTCAACCCAGAAAAGCCAACAGCTCAGGCACGAAACGTCAGCCACAAA